ATAAAGTATCTGAAATAGATGGCCGATGTAGCCAACTGAGACACTTAACCTAAGGACCAGCTAGATAACTAATAACTCGCAACGTAGACTGGTTAGTGCCAATCCCTGGCAATCATGCGATGGCTAACAAAACACGATCGATAACCTTTTATTAAAGGACGCGGGCTCACTCCTGCAAAGAAAAACCCGATGCGTAGTGTCCATACGGTAATTTCTATGCAAGTTTCATTGCTTTTGTTGTCAGACAGTAGTTTATCATTTCTACTGCTTTATTCAGAGCTAACGGTAGTTAGCGTCAGTGTGACGCAAAAGCTACCTTGGCTTGGTTTATCTTGATTTTATCAACGTTTCGTTCAATTCACGAACTTAAGCTTCTTATAAACTCAAGCTTCTTGTAAACCTTTCATTTGGCTAACTTTTCAGCGGTCGTCCGTGCGATGTAGGCCTTCATAGTTGCTTCGAATCGAATTTTCTGGAATGGAGCACCATTCAAATGAAGTAAACTCGCTTGACAGTGCCTTTTTGTACAAGACGGTTGTGGATTATCCGAATGGCTGTCCGTCCATAATGACTTATTTTTCTCTAGGCACTCCATCCGGCAGCAGTCGGTACCATATTAGCTGGCACATACCGAAGCAATAACTTTGAAAACCGACATTCAAAACGGTCAAATGATCTCAAGATGAGTAATCAAAAATATTTCCTCTATTCATAAGTTACACGATGGCAATGCCTAGTGAGGTCACTTCATTTGAATGGTGCTCCATTCTAAGAGATTCGACTCGTAGCGGTTACGAAGAACCACATCGCGCTAATGACCGAGTATGGATGGTCGGATTGGATCATTGTGGCTCCGACGACGGCAAAACTGCCAAAATGTCAACCGACTAAAAGTTTTATGACAACCTTGTGTGAGCTCATGAATAGAACAATATATTATTGGTCACTCATGTCGAGGTCAAATGAAAGTCGGTTTTCAAATTTACCTAGGTGTTAAGTTCTTAACTCTTTAAAAGGTGAATCGGTTGATTCATCTGTGGCTAAGCCTACGTTACTCTTCACAATAAGTTCATTAACTACTCCTGTCTTCTTTTCCAAATTTTTCCAGCATAGTGAGTCACTTTGTGTTCGCCGTGAATTTCCAAACTGCGGAGGATTCTGGAGCTGAATGTGGAAATAGAATGAATAGAGGGATTTGTGGAATTTCATTAAACGACCAAGGAATGTGGGACATTTATTGACGATTCAAATGTATTGGATGAAACAAAAATCGTACGGTTATTAACGATTTTCCGATCTAAAAGGCCGGAGTTCACCTGAAGTAAGGACGTTGGCACGGCTATTTCATACCTCCATGAAAAATCACACTCAGCCAGTGTTCCACAAGTGGTTCAGGAGGATCAAAGATGTCGGAGCTTCAGCTGAAGCCAAACCCACACACGAATTTAAAGACATCTATGGATGACAGGTGAGGGATAACAGGGCGACGGAAAGATGTGCTGTTGCGTGCACGACATTTATGGACAGCCCGGCAAAATATGCCAGTAAGAATAGACGGCGATAGTCATTCCTGGATTTAATATGAAGCGAAGATCAGCGATTACTAGAGAAAAGTCGGTAATCACGTTGGGAGAATTTGAAAAGGAGCCATTAATGCATACGATTTCATTAGGATCACACCAAGAAAATGGCTATCGTACGTGTCGTCCTCGTTTACCTGATTATCTTTTAGCCCTACTGGATTAGACTTCTTACTCTGCATACGTTGACACATTGACATTTGATTCTCCACGCATCTTGACACTATGCATTGCCATCTAGCGCGAAAAATTATTAATTTAATTTTATGACGTAACTATGCGCACCGTCCGTAATTGCGGCAAGAGCTAGCGGTAAGCGCTATATTTTTCATCTGTTTTACGGACTGTGGTGACGGTTTCGTCACAGGTTATGCTGTCACGTTTTAAATCTACAGCTCATTGTAATACCTTGATTTAAAATCTCAGACTAAGAGCCGAAAAGTCTTTCCTCGTTGGCTCCACATTGTTGTATCAGCTTGTATTTTGGCAAACGGAATTGACGTAGTTGAAAGTAAATCAGTATGCTTTTGAACTCATTTTTTAGTGAACTCGAGTGAACGTTGGAAGTCGTAGGTTTGATAATCGTGGTTCCATCAGCAAAATGCAGTAGGTCATGTAAACTTTCGAAGTGAAATGTGGCTTACGAGAATGTAAGCGTCCATACATAAATCCCTAAAAGGCTTCATTTTCTCAAAACCACCGTAGTAATTTGTAATCACACCAGTCGTCGAGTAATTCGAGTGCTTCAAAGCAAACTTCATATGTTTCCATTGAGTACTAGAGCTGCTTATCGAGCTCTACTCGCTTAACGGACGCGAGGACTATCACTTAATTGCTATAATTCTCTTATTCCTCCTGTTTTTATCGAGAAGGTACCCCATTGGATGCTCATAGGGCTGTTCAGTAGTATAGGCTTGCCACTGGTTGCAATTCCTAGTGAGAATGTTGTACTTTTCCTACGCAACGATCTTAGACTTAGGTTCTTAAATCTTATCATGCTTGCGCCCAACGTAAAGTGGAGTAAATATTTGTGTAAATCTCGAAAAGACACATGGGGTCTAAGTGTGTGGTAGAGACTTAGATATATTTCGTAATCGTAACCCTAGGACCGAATAAACAACCGGTTTTTAGGGTTACGTGTTTGTTAGAGAAACCCTCTTCTCTTCTGTTATGATATTTCAAACTGTCAGAAAATAAAATTAAAAATGCTAAGGATTTCATCTTGAATAACAATAGTCTTTTCAAATGTGGGAAGGAGGTTGAGAGGACGGAGGAGAGACAGTGCAATCGTTGAGGGCCGACAATTGCCAGTTTCGCCAGAAGCTATTTTTGTAGGATATTTAGCGGTTGTTCGAAGTAGAATTATTTGACTTCTGGTGGACACTAACAATTACACCTGTAGGATATATCAATGTCGTTTTAGGTAATTTTCTTAGGGAGTGCTCAGAATACAACTTAGTAGTTCCTTCACGTGAGATCTAGTGGTGAACCGCGTTGTTACCAGAGGTTCCAAATTCCTTAAATTCAACGAGATTGCTTCCAGAGGTTTTGAATGTCTTGAAATGATCGATATTTGTTGCTGATTTCATCAGAATCCAGAGATTTTTATCCCATACCTACCCGTCGGTATCCGAGACGGCTTTCTGCTGCGTTCATTCGAGGCAGAGGTTAGAGAAGAAGAGTCGGCTCAGATTTTGGCACCTTTAAATGTTAGCTTAGTTGGGTTAAGACGCTAGTGAGTGTACTGAATCGATTGCACTTGTAACTGATTGTTGGTTTCTTTCAGTACTAGTATTGTTTTTGTATCTTCTAATTTTAGGTTCAATTATACCGCAAGTGGTGCGAACAACACGTTCTTATCGTCAGGTCTCATGTCGATTGATGCGGGCGAGACTTTTTGTTCACGAACGGGACGCGGTCTTTAAGCTTTTCCTTTCCAGTATTTAGCTTAGGTGACTTAGATATGCATGCAGGAAAACAAGTCGGTCTCTTCAGCGCTTCAGGTTAACCGTTCAACGGGAAGTACAAACTTTCTTCTATACAAAGAATGAAGGACACTTACGTAGATAGTGATTGGAGTTGGTTAGTAAATACTTCAGCTTGAGTTTGCTAGAATGTTTAGAACGTCCTTGTGAAGATCAGTCCAATTCTAAGAACTCAGCACAATCGTCCAATAGTCGAACACGATGTGTAGTTATTGGAGAATGAAGCTTTCTACCGCAGTCAAAGCATTGGCATTATGTTAAATTCTTCCTCACTTGGCATTTCTACTTATTTATATAAAGAAATATTGATTATATACAGTATACATACTTCGATTTCGCCAAAAATCCTTGGACCTGTCATCTTGATGGACTGCAGTTGAATGCATCACGAACTTTGGTGGCAGAATCGTCACCAGTTGTACTATTTATTAAGGATAGGAGCTGTAGTAGCAGTATGATAGCTATCAATAGAAATAGAATGGAAGAGCCAGTTCGTCGAGAATGTGGATTTCAATCTCGGTAAAGCTGTTTAAAGTTAATGAGGCTTGCAGTAATCTGTGTGGAAATATCGTATATGGGCCTGTAACTTCAGTTGTAATACAGATAGAATATGATGTCCATCTAGTTTTTGGTATTTGGGTACTGTATTCTGCAACTGTTAATGAAATGACACGTAATTCTTTTAATCATGTGTAACCCTAGTGGATATCTGCTAACTCTATTCATCTACTTCACCGAGGTGCTCAGGTAAAGTCAAGCTTTTCCAGGCATATGGAAAGCTTAGTAGTTCTGGCATGGTACTTCTCCCCTAGTATTTTTTGCAAAAGTATAACTACGAGTAACGTTGCTAAACGCCCACTGATTCATTGTGGTTTGTCACCGAGGCAGACCCCGTTTACGACGAGATCATAAACATCTGCAAGTCAATCGAAAGTGATGTCGAAATGTCGTCACTTTACTGCCTATTCTTTTTTAATGGCAGGGGATTAAACGAATCTTTCACATGGTACGTTGATGAAGGCGTTAGCTCCCGGAAAGGGTAATAACGTGTTCGGTCACCACCGCAGACACCAGTGGTGAGGAGTTTTGGAAATATGTTAGCATCATTTTGATGTTAGAATATTCTGACACATGCTTCATATTACTTAATCCACATTGTTGCTTAAATTTGGCCAATCTGGCGGAGTGAATATGTGTGTTCAGATATTTTCATAAATCTCTAGGTACTAGTAATTTGTCTTTCTGCCGATTTGTGCTTTTTACATCTCAAATGGACAGTTACATGAAGGTCTTTGATCCGAATTTTTTTTCCAGTAACCTTTGATGTCGGACGCAGTTCTTGCATTCGTGTTGAGATGTTATCTTACTCCTGATAGAAGTTTTTTTCTTTTACCGGGTAAAAAACTGATAGGTAAAAGCTCGATACTCTAGGACAATGAGCAGTGACATTCGTATCGTTCCTTTCACGGATGAGGAGAAGGCTCGGTTAAACGAGAAGGTTTCTTTTAATAATAGCAGGTTTTATTTTGGCTTGTGTTTGTATATTTTAGATTTGTTTTCTCGGTTTCATGCTATTAATTGCTTTATTTTGGTTTCAAATTTTCGAAAGACTTAGACTTTTCAAGTTTTGTTGATATATGGTTATAGGTAATAGAAATTCAATGCACTGGGGACTATTAAGGTGACAAATAGCTTAGGGTTTTTCGTACAGTCCTTAGCTTACACGAAAATGCTTCTCCGTCGCAAGCCTAATATTCTGAACTTAGCTTAGATCTCTATTACCTTATAGTCTTAGGGGTTTTTGCAGGTTCAAAAAATGCGATTTTCCCGCCCTCCGCCAAAACTTCCTGCACCGCGTTTGGTTTTAAAGACTGCTCCTTCTCAGGCTACATCACTTCAAGCTAGTGTCCAACTGGGCCAATCGTTAAACGGTAGAGCAGCGTTTGTTTGACTTAAAGTAATCTGTTATATCTTGTCGGTTATTTCGAACAGCTTTTTTCCAGAAAAAGGTAATGTAATTGATGATAGCGGAATATCTTCGTGTGGATCGGAGAAGGACTCCTCTCCGGGCTTTCGCTGTTCTCCGGTCGATTTAATTGCCCAAGTAAGTATCCAACATATTCAGGGTAATCCTACGACCTTGGACGTGACTTCAAGTTTACTTATTATTGGCATATTTTCAAGAATATTTCCTTGGAAATATATGTGTGCTCGTTTTTAACTGCAGCTATTATTCCTCCATTCATCTTTGTTTTCCTCGTTCACTTTACTGTTTGCTCATGCCTGTCTTGCTCCTTCCTTAGTTTTTTTTGTCTTTTGCCGTTCCATCTCATTACACTTCGCACCCTTATTCCTGGGTTTTATAGGAATACCAGCTTTCCTACTCGAAATACATTTGTGATGGTGGTGATTGGGTTCCAGATAGCCCAGATCATGGCAAGTTATTGAGTTTTATTTTAATATGTAGAGTAAAAACAGTTATTCAATTTAGTATGTGAATATGATCAATATTTTCTGCTTTCCAGTTGTTTGTTTTTTAGATGGTTCTCCCAATCAGCCGGATAAAAACAATCACACTAATTTGTCATATGCTACTGTTGTTGATGGTGAAGAAAAGGAAGAGGATAGGCTGGTCGATTCTGTAGAAAACAATGAGGATTTTAACCATCTCGAATCGTACCACATCTTAACTGCAGCTTGCAATAATGTTGCTGTTAACAGTCCTTCAAATCATCCTGTGGAGGTAATAAATGCAAGAAGTCCAATTGTCTACAGCCAACAGCTTCAGTCGACACTCAACCGCAACCGAGGTGATCTGCTAGGAATTGCTCTACGTGCAGAAGAGAAGATTGGAAAGTTCGAAAATCCAACGTAAGTCGAAAGTAGACTTGTATTTTTATATGTTTCCATTTGCACAACTTTCAGCATCGCTTATTTAATCATTTAAAACTTTGAAAAGGGCCATATGGGCATCTCGAACTGGAGAATTCTGTTTATAAAAATCTTTCTATAGAGCCTGAGAGATTTAAATTGTTGGTGTTAGTGTTTTCCTGTGAGGACTGCACATTTTGCACCTAATTTGGAAGTTTTATTTGAACAGTTTTTTTCTCCTCAGTCAATTTTGGAACCACTATGATATGGTTATTTATACTCAACGTTCAGACAAGGAATGAGTGCTTTTCTATCAGGACTTTTCTGACTACGTGTTAGGAAACGGCATCATTCCTGCTATGAAATCGTAGGGAGGTGCTCGGTTGGCGGAAGTGAAATCAACAGTTAGGAAGCATAGTCTCCAGGCTGTATGCAGAATGTTGGATTGTTTTTCAGTGAGTAGAAGACAAACGTTGTTAAGTATTATGGGGTAAGAATGTCGGACTTGTTTAGACCCCGTCTTCTTGCAGCAGCATATAGTCGGCAAAGATGATTTGCATAGATACTTTCATGGACTTATTCACATAGCTACATAGGGGATTTCAATACATCTTACCGCTGTATTCTCATGAAAAACACTGGAAAACATTGCTAGTTGTGGGTTAGGTTCTAGCTGAACTGATGGCTGTTCTCACTCTGGCATGTATTTGCGAGCTAGAACGTATTTTCCTGCAATCATGTTTTCCAGGAACTCTTTCAAATGATAGCGCTCATCATTCTGCTAACGTAGAGAGCGTGCAGAAATGCTCATCTTCATAAAGTGATAGCAGCTAAGTCTCTGATTTTTCCGTAGTCGTACCGTCGTGATCCTTTAATTGCATCGCAAGTCATTATCATCGATGGTAGAAATATGGAGCTCTCGTCTCCTATGATATAGCTTGTGAACTGTCTAAACTAATATTGGATTTGTTTGTCGACCTTCTCATTTACATGCCCGTACCGGTTTGCACTCCTGATGAAAGGATTCTGTGGTAAAGCAACAATTACTATTTTGAAGTGTAAAAGTGTTCAGCGTTGATCAATTTGTGAGGGATATGCTACGCATTCGGTTCTATCCAAACATCATAGAGGTGTTTGGAAACATGTTTTGCATACACAATGACTTGTGGTTTTCGTATACGAAGTTATTGTTTTTCCTCCATTCAATTCGAATCGATTTACCAACGCCAGAAGGACCAGAAGCTTGGTTATCATAGGGTGCCTAGTCGAACTGATGATTACTGCACATTTAACCATTGTACACATGCGTACTGCTGGTAATAATATACTCTACTACTTACTTAGATACTCGGATGGCTCATTTTCATTGGTTGTGCGGGTCCCAGGATAATTCCATCTTTCGGAATTTTGCTGGTTTGGCACTGTGGTTTCCTGAAGTCCTGAGGTTGGTTTGGCCAAGTCTGTCCCATGTCGTCATCACCACAAGCAGTCCTTGCCTTCGTTTATCAGGAGATTCGCCACTGCGCGACTAGTTTGATACCAGGACGGTGGAGGTTCTTGGTATTGGTTTGCCCTTAGCTGAGCTTGATAAGACGCCGGACTCCTAAGCATGGGAGTCAACGAGATGAATCCTCCCGTTGTAGATCGCAGCTCGACACCCAGGAACGCTTCCCATCCACGATGAGCGGTAGACCGTTGGGAGGGATAATACAATATAGTCAGTTATAACTTACCTGCTAACCAGTTGAAATAAAGGAAATATTTTTCGAAAGCACTGCATTAGTTTTCTACTATACTATATATCATTGATCATCGTTTGTTTGCACTGCTTTCATTCTGTTGCTGAATAAACGAAAAGTTGTGAAATATCTCTTTGATCGTGTCGTATGTTCCTTTATTCACTAATATGTCAACTATCGTTTAATCCTCAGCTGCCATCCCATTTTAGTTGTCACTAATTTAAAAAATTAAGTGTATGTCATATAAAAATTTGTTTTCTGTTTTCATTATTCCCAATTTTAAGGTATGGCCGTCTTCTTCTCACCAAAAATTTTCCTGTGGAATCCATGAAGTATATTATGAACTCTGCAATTAAGAACCTCACGGCGTACTTCAATAACCGAAAGCCGGAGCCAGTGCGAGTTGTGCTAAAATCAAAGTCCGATGCGTCGCCGTCATTGTCTGACACATCTGTACGCAATGAGAATGATTCGAGGAAGGAAGATAAGGAAAGAGTGGAACCTGAAGTAAACGATATTAAATTGGTGTGCAAGAAGAAAAGAAAGAGAAATAATAAAAGAAACGAATCTATCGTTAATGCTAACTCAATGAACTCTTCGGCTCAAAGTGATTTCGAACAGCAACACGAAATTCGAAATATGAGGAAGAAAAGAAAGAGAAACTTGTCGATTGTATCAACGACATCTGATGGACCCAAGAAGTCTTTCAAGATCGTTATTCGACGGGATGCACCCACCGAGGTCGCTAATCCTTTACTTGCTCGTATCATCCCTGCTTCGTCTGCTACGAAGTAAGCTTTTTGTGATATTGAGAAATTATCTCTATGACGTACTTCATATGTTTTTTAATGCTTTGACGTTGTCATTTCTATCACTATCTGGTAATGGATTTTATTCCTTACTTCGCTTTTTTACACCATTTTTACGAGGAGTGATTTTAGCGAATCAGAAGACGGGTCAGTTCACAATGGACAGTGTTCGTCGTCATTCATTTTAGAGGATCGAATAGGGGACCATACACCTCAGCATTCTGAAACGAATACCATTACGTGAGTGATTTTACAACTTTAAGGATGCATTTAAGCCACATTTAGACCTGAATTATTTGAATAGTGAAATCTCAAGATTGACACTTGAGGCTGAGCTAATTTTATTTTGTTAGACAAATTAAGACTTTTGTTTTGTTCCATGACAACATGTGTAACTTTCTTTATATCGAGAAATGATTGTGTATATTATTAGGGTATTTTCAGTAGAACCTCTACGTTGGTTACTGGTAACCGAGTATTTAAAGAAGAAAGCGTCGATGAAGACGTTGTGATTGTACATGAAAACATAAGGTTTGTGAAGAATTTTTGGGATGTTAGCCTAGAAACACTGGTTCCTTATGTTGTTTCACTAATAATCCCAACAATTTCTTTTCCTCTACATCTATTTTTATGCTAAAAATGCTATTACGTTTTTTGGAATGCAGTTTGAGCGCTTCATATGTCCTCTTATTTCTTAAACTTTTTTAAAGCTATTTCATATTCAAATTCGGGAGATGGTTGTAGATGTAAACCTCGGATTTTGAACTACATCAAAATTAAACCAATAAGTATGCCTTTGGACAGGGTCACCCCAGAGGAGAGGTCACTAGTTGCTCAACTGGCTGCTTTGATAAATGTGGATTCTGTAAACACCGAACAATTCAACTGGTTTGACGAACTGCTTAGGAAGGTACGAAAGTTTGTAGTGCCAAGTTATCATTATAAATAATTAAATAATTAATAATAAATAATTTCATCCAACTTTGTAGTTGTTTCGGCATCCTTCTTCGTTGTTTCTCGGTGTAAATACAATATGACCGAATATTTTTTACTGAATTTACATACATTTCATCTAAAATTCTGTCCAACCCTGCTAATGGCGATACACTTCTTCACCTGTTTTGCTTACGAGTGTGCTCCACTATTTTTTCTTTGAAAATCGCAAATTCTTATTGAAGTAGATATTAAAACCTTCAAAAATTTGTATGAATGTTGCAGCAAAGGTATCCTTTTTACACATCTATGACGCAGCCTATGTGTTCTCAAAAGTTGTATAAAGGGAATACGTCCAGTACCATAACCTTTTAATCTCTGCATTGGTCAATAATTTATTGTTCTCTTGATGAGCGGACGCGTTGTTTTGTCATAGTATTTTTTTTCGTGATAGGAAGAGGGTATTGCAGTGGTACTGATCCCGTTCATTACGCTGGTGACCGAACCTACCCAGGCCGCGGTTCGACTCAGTTGTGGACTGATCAAGCTTTTCACCCTTCAGAGTTGGAAAATTAGTGCCAAATTTGTCTTGGACATGCTAACTCTGAGCTTTATGAGAACGCCTTACCCAACTATCAGAAGAGTTGATGGAGAATCCACTCGATCAGCATTCAACGACATTTATGACAAAGAAGAAAAAAAAATCCGCAATTAACAGCCGTATCCGCTATCGAAACTTTCGAGGAACTTCGTCTATGATGGATGCGAAGAATCAAATTGGATTTAGGAAATGCCGTGATCCACAGTGTGATACGTGTATTTATTCTCGGTTTTCTCGTATTCGCTTCTCGATTCTCATGTTCTTCTTCAAGCGTACTACTTGTTATTGTAGGGGAACTGAACAGAATTTTCATGGGTGGGTAATATCCACATATTGGGTAGTCGGTAACAGTGATTGAAATACCACCAAACATGGTACGCCAACTAGTTCGTAACCACCTATATAGCCATCATTGCGCATGATTTCGAATACATTGGCGGAACGGGTAGACCGCTCTATGTCCGTATAAAAGAAAATCTATACAGTAGATTTGAAGTTAAACAAAATACTTCATTAGACACGCGTAAATGATAGAGACATAACGAAAAAGTTAGTCGGTGAATTAAAAGTATCCTTTCACAAGAATTTTAAAAAACCAGCGAGCGAAACTATTGAGCCGTTTTGGATAAATTCAAATAATGCAAAGATGCACCGCAAGAAGTAATGCCTTGTTATCACTCTTGACCTTATCATCAGTTTTTTCACAGTTATCACAGTTCCTCAGACTAATCTTTTAATCTGAGAAAAGAAAATTGCCCACCCATGTAAACTCTATGAGATTAGTCTCCGTCTGTAAGTGGAAGGCCGCTAGAAGACATGAGTGTCAGGAAACACCGTTCCCGATGCGATTGGAATTTTGTTTCCTTTTTTTAATGCTGGGGCGATGTGGATATTTAGCTGAGTAGATTGTATATCAGTGTGATGCTATCCAAACTCTGAAGAAGGCGAAATTCGGAGATACGTTGGCTATCCTGAACTAAAGGATGCAATAACAACCTGTCTACTCATTGAGAAATCAATAAATTATTAGCTTCTCCAGAAACTAATGTCAGGTTCCTAACTGTGCTTTATATCTCAGCTTAGAACAAATCTTGTTGGTTAAAATGAAAAAAGAAGTTTATTTATGCGAAAAGTAATAAATATTTCTCCCAGATTACTGAGGTAACACGGAGCTTAGTATAATTTTTTTCTTCGAGTAATGTTTTGGTAGTTTCGTCTTATTCAGAGCAGTCTTCTGGAGTGGAGCACCACTTAGATGAAGTAACCATATTCGGCAGTGCTACTTCAAACAGGACGGTTGTTGAGTAAAGCCGATTATACACAGGCATTCATCCTCGTAATATGGGTCTTTTTGGTCGCATCGAGTCCAGTTCTCTGGAGTGGAGCACCATTTGGGTGAATTAATCCCATTCGGCAGTGCCACTTCAAACAGGACGGGTGTTGATCTGTTGCCATCCAATATGCCCTGGTAGAAGCAGACGATGACATCGAAACGTCCGCCCAATAGAAATCTTTGCACCAACCTTCTGTTAGCTTAATAGTTTAAGATAGTTTCAAGTTTAGCTTAGTTTCTGAAGCATTTCTTCCACAGGGAATTATCGAGATGCTTAAAGAAGTGTAATTAAGTAAGCGAAAAGTCGAGAAGTACTGTGAATGAGGCAGAGTTTTGTAGCCCAACTTGTATAACATTTGCAGCGTCGGCAGTAAGACTTGTTACTGCTCTTTTTCGTGTAGAATGAGATTGATCCCTTTCTATTCATCAATGCGGTGGGCAGTCTTTGAGTTTTCTCTTGAATTTCGATATGCTGGATGTTCCTTTCCACCGTAATATTTTTACTCTGATCTGATCAAGAAAGCTGTTATGGATTAGAACAGCGGAAGACCATCAAACGCTCAGTATGACCTTCTTTCAATAGTTTCGGATATGAGGAGTGCTGTGGTGATCGATTGTGGTCTAGTACTGAGCCGGTCATCACCGGTTGTTACAAACGATCCATTTTTGGGGTTCGTCACAACACAGTCGAGAAATGGCTTGTTCTGGTTGAGTAGAAGAGATACCGAAGACACCTCAGAAAGGCGATTTTTCTTATTGTCCTTCAATTTGTGTGGCATTCATTCATCGTGTTTCTTCGGCATTGTTTTTTTAGGTTCTCAGAAGCAGTTGAGATATGTAAACTGAGTTCGCCATGTTCAAGAGCAGTTGTGCGTGTACTTGCTTTAACATAAGCCATCAATTCATCGTCGTCAGCAGAAACACTTCCGCAATCTCCCTCATCTTGAAGGTCGAATTCGCTGCGACGAAATTTTCTCAACTAAGATTACGCTTTGCGTTTGTTAATACTTCCTTGGTCCTATACCTCGTAAATGTGTCAAACTGTAGACGATAGGTAGCTCTAAATTCGAATTCATGGAAGCAGGTTTGTTGGCATTGCTTTTTTAGAACTATAACCTTTCAAGTTTGTCAAAAAACCAATTTATTTTATAAATCAATTGTATAAAGTAGAAGAAATCACTCGAAAAGAAAAGCGAACTATTGCTGAAACATATAGAAGAAAACCAAATCGCAACTAGCACTTTTGCATGCGTTGAACTCCATGCATACGGTCCAAGGTAAACATCCAGGGCAGAAACACTCATGGGAACGAAGAAGCATGTTCCAATAACCGTGATGTAATTTTTTACGTGTAACGTTCTATTAGGGTTGCAAAATCTTCTAGTAGATAATGTCTTTAGTCCTAAATTATAATTTGTGGACAAGAATGTGCAATGAAAGAAATAGTCGAAAAGTACGTAGTTGAACCAATGCGTGTTTTCGGGAATGTTAAAATATACTTGCATTGAAATGAATGCTTTGTGTCAAGCTGCGGCCAAAGTTATTTTCTCCGTTGCGAGTCTTACGCTTGCCGTTAAATTTTAAAAAGTTTGTGTTAATATTGAAAGGTCATGGATAACTAAAACGAGAGGCAAATCGCAAGACCGATTTTCTTTTAACCTCGACATTAATGAGTAATTCACTATTTTTCTTGATGAGCAAACACGAGGTTGGGATTACAGCATTTATTAACACGTAATAGCTGACGTTTCGGTCGGTGATTTCGCCTTCTTGAAGCCTGGAAAGGTCTACTTAGCTAAAAATTTTCATAACATCAGTGCACAAAACTCGACGCGTAAGTTTCCATTCTCATTATAAACATCTTTTAAACAAAAAACGAAACGGTGAGTCTCGAAGATAATCTGTTTATTATGCGAGTGATAATTTATGTGTTGTCTTATCTACTGAGGTTATGAAAGTCTTTGGCTGAGAAGATTGCATGTCAATTTGACCTCTCCAAGCTCTGAAGAAGGTGAAACCGTGGGATGATCAGTTATTCTGCAGTAATAAATTCTGTAATAACAACTTTGTGTTTGCTCGTTAATAAAAACAGTGAATTATAACATGACGGATGTCTAGTCTTTTATTTGGAACCAACTTACTTACACTACTAAGTCCTAGGAGCATTCAGTAAAGAAATGGTGATACTATGCCGATGTTGGAGAACGCTTTTTTCTAGGCGGGGCAGTTCGCACGACACATAGACCATCATGTCGAAATGCTAATGAGCACGAAGTTGGAGCTGGCAAGGATTCGTTTAAACCAAATGGCAGAGCGGAATCGATGCCGGTCGCTACTGCAGAAGCAGAGAAGTGCAATGAGCTGTCGAGATGTTTCGTTCAAGTTTGTTTACAGTACAAGTAGTGAAGGACTTAGTGGCGTAACATTCTTTTCAGCGTTTCTGATGCTATTGCACCAGAGTTATTATCTCAGTGCTCTCAGATCTCTCCCGATATGTCCTATCTATCCCTTAAGGATGGTAAGCGCTTACAGTATTTGATAGCCTTATATATTTCAACAAGTTAAAAAAGCTAGGTTTTTGTGTTACGAAGATCGCTAGTATACATAGCATAGACTACATAGCACTTTCACTGAGAAGAAAGTATAGGGGTTTGACCAGCTTTTTTTGCCTCGTAACGCGTTGCTGCTCTAGGTTTTATTTTCAGTAGGTGTTTTTAAAAATTCGATCAGCTTTAGATTTTGTTATTGTAGAGTCAAGAGGTGTCCGAGACCGAAAGCGTTGTTTGAGAGCTGGTAATGTGCAGAGAACTGTTCCTGGTGATGGACGTCATTGCACACTGATTGTTGGCAATGCTTCCCAACAAGGCGCGTTATTTTTTTTCTTTTGTGAAACTGGATAGCTCGTGTTTTCGGATTCTGGCTAGCTATATTGCTAGTGTGATATTTGCTTATTTCTCCATGTTACATGTATGGACCGTCAGTATTTATAAGAATTTAGGATTATTTTGACTTGTTGCTTTCGTTATTCCTAGGAATAGTTGGTACTGTGCTTTGTTGCAGCAGCAGAGAGTTCGTCGAGACGATGCGCTTCAGCTCGTTTAGCACTTAAACGTCGTCTGACCTCTTCTCCATATAATACGTCAACTTGCTCTACCTTGCGTAGAAATTCTCTAAACATGATCATTGATAGATTGAAATCTCTACCGGGTAAGTTTCATTGACCTTGAGTTAATTGGCTTGAACATACAGCAAGTTCTTATAATCTTAAGTTTGAACTAGTCATAGGATGTTTTTACATATGCCTTTAGATCTGTATGAATTAATATCATATGTGGTCAGATTATCGAGTAGTGGAATAAAGATTTCTATTTGGGAAACATTGGTAATGGGCCGTTGCAAAGTATACTTGCTCTTTTCTTTGAAAGCGATATGCCTTTCACAATAACGATGGTACATTTGTGACAGCAATTCATTTTTTTATTATTAAGAAGACATTCCTCGCGACCCAATGCCATCATCGCCTGCAGCAGCGGTGCCTCAAGAAGTCGCACATACAAGCAGTGATTTTTCTGCAAATAGCAAAGCACCTTTGTTATTCGAACCAAGGAAATCTCATTCTCCTTTTCAATGTACGACTCACTCTCAACTTCATAGCAACGGTAGAACTTCGCGATTTCTTTTTAGAAATGTTGTGAATATGAGGATTAATGCATCTTCTATGTAGTTCTAGCAGTTGAGTCCACATAAGCAGTTTTCATTGCAGTGAATTCTCCACAAGATGTGACAGCCGCCGTCCCGTTTCAAATTCCGGTTTCACTAACTACGGAAAGGCGACCTCAGAATGTACATTGGATTGCGAAGCGTACGTGAAAATTTGCGAAATGGAAATTGGATAACACGTAGTTCACCGTAGTGTTCAATAACGCTTTTTTAAGATTGAGATAATATTTATAAGTCAGCCGTTTTTACAAACTGGTACTTCGTCTTCTATTTAGGTACATCTGAACTTTCGAAACCAAGGTACATGTTAAAAAAGGGTTTATGTTGCGAGCGTAAGTACGGAATTGCGGCTACTGGGAAGCATGGTAATGAATTTCATAGTTTTCGTTCTGTTGTTTAAAACTTATGTCTTCGACCAATTTGGTATGCGAGAATCGTGAAATGCTTGTCACTAAGGTTGACTTGACGGAGCGGTCTTCAACACCACATTTGCGACACTACGCACTGTTTTCAATGCATAGGTATCGAATATGCCTTAGCTTTTAGTTTTAAACGAGCACGTCTCGTCTAAGCAGATCCACTTCTTTACACAACTGGATAACCCAGTTTCACACGTCGTGAGTGTCACAGCTTTCTCTCCATTGGTTCTGCTCTCATGTAGTCTTCATCAAGAGATTTTCGCGTTGATGTATGAATTCGGCGAAATTTGCTGGAATATCCATTTTCTCCTCCTATTGAGATGTTGAATGCTGGTCGAATGTCATTTGCTCCTCTGGAATCCCGAGGTAGTCGTGTTGAGTGCGCACAGGTCTCTTCTTCTTGATCAGGCGGACTCTGTTTTAATCGGAGGGTAGTTTGCTTTCTTGCGATTCGGTTCTTCCTGGACGGCACTTGATACTACGATTACTCCATTGACCGATCGAGGGCAACGTTCAGAATTTACAGTTCTTTTCCAGTATGAAGCAGTTTTTCATCTACCATAATGGAATCACGGTTTTTTGAGCTTTAGAGATCGTTTTTTTTGTTTGTCGTTGAGGCTTAAATTTCGAACAGCGCAACGCTTGTACAAGCAAGAATTCGTCCAGCAGAATTCGATCACTGCCGACAACTTTTACTTAATACGTAATTGATTTACAGAATGCTGACGTTGATTTTTCGAAAATTTTTGTTTCAGTTTTTTGAAAACTTGATTTCTGAATATGTGTGAAACTGGAATAACAAGTGAGAAATCAATATTGGCCTTGTAGCAAGAGTGTTAACCCTTTTTTGAAAGTGTATCGAGTTTGATTTCCTTAAGCGCACGAATTATCGGAAAGTTGTCGACAGTTTTTGGACGACACATACTGTTCTAAACGTATTAAGACTAATAATAGCTAGTGATTTTTCGGAAGAAGTGCTACGACAATTTGCATACCAGCCATAATTGATTATCTATACATGCTCAATTTGAGATGCTTTTAGTGGAATCGCTTATTCACCGTCCGGATCCTATCGCTATGAAAGATTTGGGTGAAATCAAGGAGGTTTCGTGAGTACACATCGCAGAGTAGCCTTTATTACATTTAGTATTTTTATTCATCCATGGTTTTCTACTACTTTATTCATCATCAGGAGTTTCTCGTTTTTCTATGCTATATTTAACCTTGAACAACTTCATTTATTCTTTACGTGCAGAATCCGGAGATACTTTGGTCTCAACACTTTATAATTCTCAGTTTTCTCAAGAAACTCGATTCTCTTTTGTTTTTTTTTTGTTGAGTACGAATTTTTTTTTGTTTTTGTGACTGACATTGATTTTTAGTGATCAACTGAGCTTAGCGTGAGAAGTACATTATTGAAGTAGTGGTATAGACGAAGCATTATTAGATGTTACCGTGGCATTAGTATGACGTGTGTAGATCGTTCTTTGAAATATTAATACTTGTTTCTGTACATAGTATTTCTATATTTGCATTTTAAGACCTCAGACTATTGTGTATTTTATTATCATACCCGTTGTTCTTCTTAATTGTTACTGAGTAAATTGTTGCTTTGCTTTAAAAGTAACTTATTACAGCTATTATTTTCATCAAAAGTCCTATGGTTTGAGTAAAACCAAGGTAGGTGGATTACAGACGTTAAATTTTGTCTAGACTAGGTTTCTAGACTAGTTATTTGAGTTCCGGTAATGGATCTTCCATGACTAGCTGTTTCTACTTAAACGTATGCGATTGCAACCAGGTTGAATCATGGACGGCAATTCCCAGCAAAGTGTGAAATTAAGCGGTTCAGAATTACATGACGGGTTGTGCTTGTATTCATTGTAGAAGGTTAACGTGGACTCCGAAAGAGCTCAGCATGATAACAACCTCGTCATGCTCATCAAGGAAACGATGAATTGTTAATAAGAGGTCCAAATAGGGAAGTACCGAGATGAAATGTGCTAGTTGGAACACATCTGACGAAGTAATGGGAATTCCCAGTGAGTATCCGATGATGCAAAGTGAGGATATTTACTACGATGTCGTAGGATTGACCGAAAGGAGAAGTTGCCATGCGTTATATGTCCTTTATGGTGATGTTCACTGAAGTGTGTAGAGTAGCTACCAGATCGATATCGTCAATGGGAGTGTGCTTATGAACCTTGGCGATCATTTTAAACCACTAACGATTCGAGTTCGACGTCTGATGGATCGATGGGGACCGGTGTTAACTTTAACAGTACCCTATCAACTACTTTGGTCATCGAACATCAATGTACAATTAAGGACAAGAACGAAGCATTTTATATGGACCTGAAGATTATTGGTTCCATATAGCGCCTTATTATAAGCGAAGTTTGAATCAGATAAGTGTCAGCTGAGAAATTTTATTAAGATTTGTAGTCTTAACACCTTTATACATGTATTTAAAACTGGGGACATTTTTCTATTCATAGAATATTAGGTTAAAAACAGCAATCATGCAAGTGCTCCATCGATTTCGTTTACTCAATTAGTGTTCTGTAATGTGGCGACAGATTCTTGAAGTATTTGACAGTTCTCACCTGAAAAAACATTTGTTAGATGACCAAGCAGGAGTTTCTCGACTCTATTCATTGTCACTGAAAGGTAATACCGTCTTACACATGGTACTTTAAGAGAGGAAGTGTACTCTGTATCAAGGATAGGTACTTCATTACACATCTGATAGAGGTTTTTCAGTTATCCTCGTGAACACTTCCCCATCCATAGTTCCCCGTAGGCATTTCGCATTGCAGGAACAAAGGTGTTTTTGGATTTTTGGCGTCAGTTGCATAATGCGTGCAGTAGAAAAACCATTCTGATAACGACCAGAAGCACTTCTCCGTAGTGGACGAGTATTTCTCTCAAGTATAGACCGCCCTGATCCGAATTACACTGCTCTGTGACCATCGCCATTATAACTACACACGACGGACGAACATTTTTGGAGTACAACCACAATGGTGCTGAAATGTTTACAAAACTTGAACCGCAGGCTAGATCGAATTACCCTTTCAGTGGGTTCACGTCTAATGCACGGACTACTGTTCTGCCTTTCTCTCAGCCAGCCTTTTTGCCCTAACGTTGTCAGATTATTTCCGTTGACAGGTGATTGCTGATGCCACCATTAGGGTAAACCTCAGTGGTGCAGTCGGTAACATATGAGCACTCGGAAAGGGTAACTGCGGGTTCGATCTCGCCAGGAGTCGTAGTTTTGCAAATATCTCAGCATCTAGCAACGATGTATGCCCGGAAGAAATACAAGCTGTTACCACCGGACATTATCATTATATATCCACCATCAGCATCGTGTATAAAAGGGCATCACTGAGTGAGGATGCCTCATTCGATTCGAAAAGATGGCTCACTGAGGAAGACCTGGCTCGACACGAAGGCGAAGCTGCAACGTCGAGACGAACAACAATCATGGACCATCGATTCGGACCATCGGCCCTGAGGAAGACGAAGACGTCGAAACGTTAGCCGAAAACAAATATATTTATCAATCTCGTGCAAGCTTATCAAGAAAGAATACATATCTAATCATCATTTTGGTTGTATTTCACATAATATCCTAGCATGAAAAATAATGGACAGTAGATAAAAGTTGTACATTACACTGTCGAATTTCTTTTCACTGCGTCAAACTGAAGTGGAAGAGGATGGAGAATGTATGTACGATTCAGTGTATTATAAACACTATGTTTCCATCATAAAGGCACGCGCAGCGTAGTGGTTAGAGGTGTTTTGCAAAACACACGTGGTCTTTGGTGCCGTCGAACATCCGAGAACACCAAGCCCTTCACCCTTCCGGGGCCAGCAAATTGATACCGGCCTTGTTTGGAAGGATAGCAGCACTGACTTGATACATCGGTAGGCTACTGCAAATATTGTATAAGCCAGCTACGCATTTAATCACGATCAATCAATCTACGATGCTTTGTGAAGTCGAATGCTTGGCGCATCCTTCAAGGGTTGATCAACGCCAAATGCTTTACCCTTTGTTTTTTTAATGTTTTCATAACAAGAACTAATCGTTAATAATAGATATCAAAAAATAATGATAATAATAATAACTAATAGCGGTAGAGGCGCACGTGGCGCAGTGGTTGGAGACGCCACTTCGACAGCCACGTGGAATCGATCCCGCGCCGACGGCCCACTAAGCCCTTCATTCCTCCAGTCTCGGTAAATTGGTACGGGACTTCTCTGGGAGGATAGCAACACTGGCTCGATACATTGGTAGGCCACTGCGAGTCATTGTAAAAGCCAGATATGCATTCAATCACCTCCAACGATATTTAGTGAAGTCGAATGCATGGCACATCCCTCAGGAATTGATCAACGCCGAGAGCTTTACCATTTTTATCCTTTTAATAGTGGTAGTAACAATTAGTGTCAATAATAGTAATAACAAGGATTCGGCTCTTTGCATAATCATCCAGGGGTCAACCGACTAATCGCAGAATTCGCTGCTGTCACAGGAATCACTATCATGCTGGAAAAACCCAAGTGCTGTGGGACCAAACTTTCCTCCCGGATGGCAACGGCCTATAGGGACCACCTGGGAATGCCCTAGCATGGCTCTCTAGGTTTTTCAGGCGAAATCACACGCGATAACTATTCAGTATGTCAACGAAGAGGGACGTTCACAGCCCTTGTAGTCGAATCTACACCTGAACGTTACCATCTGTATGGATATTCCAATGAAAGGAAGGTAAGCAAGTGCTGACAGTCGCATGATATGTAAAGACGGGTCAAGACGGGTCACGGGATGTGTAACTGTCTATCTAAGTACTTACTTGGAAGCATGGACGGCCCATCTTCAACGCTGGAGATTTTCTAGTCTACCCACAGTGTTTCGCTGGTGTATCGAAGTCAGCCTAGCCGAAGTCTTCCACTCGTCGTCATCACGCTAGACAGTCCTCGCTCCTGTGGATCAGAAGGGAGATTTGCCACGATGTGACTAGTTTGATACCGTGACAGCGGTTACTCATGGTATTTGCTTACCCTCATCTGAGCTTCTGGATGGAAACGTCGGACTTCTCAGCTTGGGAGACCCTGCTGGAGGGATGAGTCTCCCAATGTACATCGCAGCCCGATACCCAGGAACACCTCCAAGCCACAATGAGGTGGTAAACCGTTAAGGGGATGTACGGAAGTAAATAAATAAAATAACATTGTATCCTACCTTTAATTCTAGTGTTGCATTTTCGTCAACAATGAACATCGCGTTTGGATGTAACTGAAGTGCACTCACTGTACACATATGATTAACACTGCATTCAATCGCTTGATGGAGTGCAAGCGCTTTATGTGAGCCGGTGACGAGCACCATTACCTGAACATGTCGATGGGTGAATACGAATTCGCTTCAGAAAATCGCCTGCTCTATATCGGGCTCCGTATTATATTATAGACAAGAATTTTTTTCCGAATTCTATTTGTTTGCGATGTATTGATTTTGATCCACACGTTTTTCGTCGGTTTATTTCGCCGCGAAGAGCTTCTTTTTTGCCGGGTTTTTTAAGCGCATTCGGTAGTTCGTGCTGGGCGTTGACGACTGAAGCGCTATTTTGATTCTAGAAATAAGCAAGAACCGTTTTTCAAACGAGATCATTAAGCAGAAATTTGGGTGGTGATTGACCATTATTCCAATTATAGCTGGCACAATGGATCATAGTTATCGCACAGAATTTGGGGCTATATGAAATACCAAGATAAACACAGCATAACTTTCAAAATACTTCTAAGTGCTGACAGCAATGTATCACTAGGATGGGCCATAGTAACGTGTGGTAAACAGCAGCATATCCCCAATAACACCCATACAGCGGTAGACCAAAGTTTTCTCTTCTACGATCATGCCATATTTGCAGTCCCTCAATTCTTCTAGTTATCCAAAATTTATTTTCTATTGGCGAAAAACTATTATTTGCATAACAGCCGAAAATTACGAGTGGTCACGAAATGGCTAAGCTGCTCGCATTGGGAACTCTGTTCCAAACGATATCGACGCGATGCGACCGCACGTGCAAGTGCGTGGTAACCATAGTGCTGTTGAAATTTTCTTCTTAACGATAAACGCAAGGAATTTCTCATTTCCTAAGTTTAACCTTTTTTCTCACAACCAAGTAGTTGTTCTATTCGTTTATTGTCGATCGATACATCAGTAGGCCACCGCAGGTAAAGGCTAAATTCGTATTCAATAACCTCTAATGATGCTTAATGAAGCCTAATGCATGGCGTATCCCGCACGGATTGATCAGCGTCGAAAGCTTTATCTTTTTATATATTCTTTAGTTCTAGGAAATGCCTCAAAGTCTACTATAACCTCATTTTAGAGATGATTTTTTAGAGCTTTCTACACTGGACACCACATCAAACTTATGTAGAACTAGAAATATTGTAGTTTTTGCGAAAAACTGTGAAAGGGCGCTAACCTGTCTAGCATCCAGTACCGTCTTAACACCGACTGTCAGCGCTTGGGTCGGTACCATTGTTATATCACCATTAAAGAAACGCGAATTTGCCTAGACAAAAAAGAAGCACGAAGATCGGATGTGAGCTGTAGTACTTAAGTAATACAGTTAAAAGTTTATATGAGCAATTTTAAAAAAGCAAGAGTTGACCAAGCGATTTCTATAAGAGAAAATTAACCCGTGCATCTACAACCATCCCATAGCAACCGTTCGGAAGCACAGACCTTTACAACTACAGTGAAATCTGAAGAATACGGTAGATTATCATAATACAGTGCGGCCTTGTTACCTCTATTGTGTCTGCGTTGAGTGTTTTTATTCTGGTCCGTGATGCCAGCGAACTACCTGGCTCATTGAACGCAATATGACCATCGGGTCCAATTCCTGAAGGACAGGATTACCATCAGCGGTAATTCCAGTACTTGGCATTACTTACTACTAAACAATTTTAGTACTTTCTAATATACAAATCCATTCATTCGTTTCAATCCAGTGAATTGGTTGAGGGCTTATCCTTTAGCGATAGAATAGTAAGAGACCTATCAACAGACTACCGCAAGTTCTATAAACTATGTTCATGGTCCGTTAGAATACACTACGCTTGAAATGGATTGTCGTTGTAGAATTGATCTTGATAACCACAATGATGATGAGATATTTGCAAAACTTCGGACCGCAGGTGGCTGTGGTGGGAAACGAACGCGCTATTACCCTTTCAGGGTAGTAACGCGTTCACCACCACACTATGTGGGTCCATCGTTTCACCTTTCTCTCAGCTAGTTTCTATCCACCGTTGACGAGTGATTGCTGACGGCAGTGGTAGATAGAAAACTGGTTGAGAGAAAGAGGAAACGAAGGACCTGAATGGTGTGGTGGTGAACGCATTAGCCTCCCGAAAGAACAGTAGTGCTTTCGTTCCCACCGCAGACACCTGCGGTCCAGAGTTTTGCAAATATCTCAACATCATTGTGGTTGTATCACACATCATACCTCGCCGCGAAAAATTGTAATAGGCAGTAAATAAAAGAGTTAGCATTTATCTTCATACTTTAACTATTTTCGTTACTTAACGAATCGAAAAGTAGATAGATATAGCGTTATTCTAAACGATACAACTATTGACGTCTCTTTAGCTGCGTCTCATTGCTGCGTTGAGTCTTTAGATAATCCGCGCATACCTCCAATGAATAGTTCAATTCCACCGACACTAGCGATTTTTTCTTCATATTGACGGCATTCTTTCTCTACATCGGTAGTATTTCCGTCAAGAATGTGTACATTAATTGGATCGACATCAATATGACGGAAGAAATTGTTGTACATAAATGAATGATAAGATTCTGGATGATCACGCGGTAAACCTGGAAAAACATTCATGGGATAGGTTAAGCGTCTTTTATGAAAGTTTCAACTTCGACATTTAACTGTGATAAGCCATGGCGGATACAAGTGGACGCACAGTCAGTCTACTACGTATAACTGTGATTGGCTATTTTTATGGCGATTATCTCATTTTAACCCATCAACCCTTTAAGACAAAAAATTACAGCGTTAAAGGTATTGGAACTGAAATGGAGGTTTTCCTTTAAAACTTCTTCACGCATTTTTTTTCTTAGATAGTGTTTAGTACTACTTCCAGCTAGTACTGACCAATCATAGACTAACGTGTTCCCGGTACCAACCATTCACAAACGTCGTGCACCACAGCTGATATTAAAAAGCATGTCATGTCACATTTACGACTGAACTGCTGCAGTCAACATCATCAATACAATCAACGCACTCACCGACATACTCGTCCATATTGAACGTGATCACATATTTGAACGATAAACTGCCATCCTCACAGAATTCGATGAGTTTTTTATACATTCCAAGTGGTGTAGAACCTATTATAATACATAGGATGTGTGCAATATATTGCACAGCATGTGAATCGGTACATATAGAATGCACTACATTGATTGGGACCCTTACCAGTGGGTAGGCCGAGCACAAAATGGCGATCCGGTCCGCAGTTATAATCATTGATTCGTTTACGAACATATCGTGCTGCAAAATCAGCAACTTGTTCCGCAGTGTCCTCGATGATTAGCCTCATCTACAAACCGTCGATTCATTAGTTCTCGTTTGTTCTTTTGTAATTGTCGAATGTTCACTTTCGAACAAAAAATGTTCCATTCCTGATAGCACCGTTAGGGTGGAAACACTAGCTGAGAGAAAGGCAAAGCGAAGGCCTTGGTTAGTGTAGTAGATAACACATGAGTACTCGGAAAAGGTAACGGTAAGTTTGAAGCTCAACACAGGCCTCGAGTTTTGCTCATACCTCAGCATCTTTGTCGTTGTGTCTCACATAATATCCTGCCATGAGAAATGAGCAGACAGTAAATAAAAGTTAACAAAATGTTATAGTAATTAAAGTGTTCGGCATCGATCAATTCTATAGTAAATGCACTGCGAGCAAGAGACTCCATCACTCTCATAGAGATAATTGCTAATTATTTGGTCTGTGCCATGACTTATGTCTGAAGTAGCATAGCGATCCTTTTATTCTCCCAGGCAAGTGTGGTACCAATTTGTCAATCCCATAGGGTTGGAGGGACCTATCACCTTGGAGCTTGAGACCGAACCAACGACTACGTGTGTATTTTAGGGTACTTCTAACTATTGCGCTATGAACACTCTTGTCATACTAATTGTATGTGATACATAGTGCGCGTCGTTCCTTTTGTAGTGAATTGCACTTGAATTGCAGAAACGACTTGCTTGACCTCTTGGAAGGCCAATTGACCTAATTTTTTCTTTCTGAATTACTTGGTTAAATGATGGTTTGAAAATGACAGCTATCAGACTTGCTTCAGCAATTCTATGGAAAGATATCGAAAATAAACAACGCATTCTCGAACGGATCTGACACAAAAGGTGTTTTTTCGAGTCTTGTGAGCCACATTTGACCCACACTTCCGTATTGATTTGATGACACTTACAATAAGCGCCACTTTCAAATTGAACGTTCTTACGCCACACTGACTTCGTCTGATTTCCTTAGAAATTTTTTAAATGCTCATATAAACAAAAAACAGGGGAAGCATGTCAAGCCACGAATGGGTCCTCCAGGTGATAACCACAAGCAGCCCTCAAATGAAAATATTGAACCCCTTCTCATTAGCTTAATTAATGGATGAATGTTCCATTGTACTTCGCAGAGTTACACTTAGATACCGGTTTTAGAAGGCAATCTACAAAATGTAGAGAAGTGGGTTGTCGAACAGATCGCACATTGTTTTTTAAATCGTGGACTTAACTTAGTTTTTTGCGAATTCAGCATAAATCGAAAAGGAAACTGCTAGATGCTCACCGATAGTCAGTTGAAGAGCTAGCAAACTGAAGATAGGCTTATCATACGAAATCGTGCAATTCATAGTTACTGACCGTTGAATTCCATGATTTCAGTAAAGAGGAGACCGATTCGTAATGATAAGAGACCCTCTAATGGCTTACTGCATTCTCATGGCTAGGATGCATTAGTAGGACCTCAAGTGAGATTCAAAACGGAGGTACATTTCAGGAGGGTCGACTGAGGCGACGAGGAGTTCAATATCTCTATAAAGACGCTGTGCTAGGGTAGACATCAGTAATGGCTATAGTCAAGAACAATAGAGATGAACTATCGTACAAAAAGGGTGGAAGCAGATGATCAACAAAGATGAGTTGAATTTTTCACGATGCTTGTTCGGTTGGCGAAGAGGCAATGTCACTAACGTGAAAGTTACAAGATACCGTAAGATAATGGAATTTCTTTGCATTTGACCGAACTCACTTTGTGGTTGTGTGGTTTACTATGCATTAATGCTTCTAAAAAGAATCTTCGTCGTTTTCCACTGCACGTCTCGAAATCCTTAGTACCAGTGGATATAAAAACCTGGCTAGGCGCTTAAAAGGTCGACGTGCAAATTGGCTGCGTGATTTGGTAACTCTTGAAAGTAGGCAGAAGTTTCTAGATCAATAACCAAGCTCTGATTAAACTCATCTCAGCTGAAGGAAGGCACCTCTGGCCAAGTCCTTACCTTCCCGTTAATTCTTATCTTTTACTGGAAGAAAAAACTGGCCAGAGGTGCCTTCCTTAATCGTACCTTTATAGTTGTCTTTTTCTATATCTTTACTAAACCCTTAGGGAACTTCATTTTTCCTCATCGATTACATAGATTCTGATCTATGAACGATTGTTTTTTGACGACCGAGGAACGTTTGCAGGTGTGAATTACTGCTATGCCATCCAGACATTGCGATAATTTCGGCAACAACTGTTCTTTGGTGACCGCACGTGGGCCAAATGTTGTTGTGCGACACAGAGCTTTCTATCTAGACCTAGCCAAGCTTAAACAGCTTACGCTACCAGATGCTATGCACATCTTTAAAGCGTCATATCTTTTTACGTCAGAGAATGTGACCAAGTGAATGTCACTCACACGATGCCAAAGAAAAACGCGAAGAAAATGATAAGGTTTATGAACAGGATGGGATAGAAGGAAGCCGTGTCAAGTAAAACCACTAGGTCAGAGTTAACATAAGAACTTGTTTATTTCAAATGCGTTCAGCACATCGAACAAAGGCAAATGTATACAAATATTCCGAAAACATTCGCGAATCCACTACTTGGAGTCTGGTCGCAGGTATTAGACAGTAAAAATCTCAGCAAAATTTTCCAAACTTCTTTCAGAGAAAACTACAAAGATGGCTTGTCTAATTAAGGTCATCTTCGATTGGCTGGTTCTATAAAAATCACTAGAGTTACAGAAATAGTTGCCCGGCATGGAGGAATCCTAGTAGCAATGAAGCACACCTCTGCAGATCGACGAGGACCAAAGACTGTGCTTGTAGTGATAACCCGGGAACGCCCTGCAGCGGCTGTCTTAGGGTGCCACCGGAAGCCACGACCACCTCTCGTCATGTCAATGGAGAGAGAACACAACTGGTTTTTAAATCTCACACAAACTCAAATTCAATCTTCAGCGGCCTTATGTATTACAAAAATATGATGAGGAAACGGGTGGAAGATGTGCTAGAGGCCATCACGACTTGTGAGAAGGAGCGATCTTTTTCTCTATCTACCTGTAACAGTTTGTCAGTGGTCTTCCGGTCTTCGAGTCCTCCTTCTACACCTAATAATCACGACCTAGAAGTAGAATGGTCAGCTTTAGACGAATTTAGCATACGAAACTTTTTGGTGTCCCCACAGAGTACAATCTCAAGCTTGGTAACAGTTTGTAGCAACGATAGCAACATGTTATTAACGATGTGATGATCCCCCAACGGTTTACTCGCCTCATCATGGCTGGGAAGTGCTCTTGGGTGTCAGGCTGATATGTACAGCAGAGAAATTCATTCGCTAAGCAAGGCCTCCCAAGTTAGGAAGGAGTCCGACGTTTCCATCAGTAAGCCCAGCTATGGGTGAACCAATACCAGGACCCACCCCTGTCCTGATATCAAACTAGTCACATGATGGTAAATGTTCCTTTGATCCACAATGGTAGCGACTGCCCGTGGTGGTGACTACCTACAGCAGACTGGCTAGACTGACCTCGGGAATTCAGGGAAGAACAATAGGTAAAACAGCAAAACTCCGAAAAAATGCAAACTATGCTGGGACTCGTACAACCAGTGAAGGCCGTCAAAGTATCCAAGTGTTCAAGGTTTGACGATATCTGGAAGGGTAAGGAGCATAAGCGCCAAGACGAAGATGGAGGATGCACGAGCACTAGTTGAGCGAACTCCTCAGCTAACTGACCAAGTTGTTTATAATGTTCTAAAACTGGCGGAGTGTGACACAAGAAACTGGGGTGATGCTCGATATAAAGAATGTTCATTGGAATGACAGATGCAGGAAAGTATACGCAACTGACAACTGCTCATTAAGGGCCTGACCTATCGGATATAAAGGAAAAGTTCTCGGGGAAGAAGTTACACAAACCCTTTTCAGTAACTGGCGAAGCAGGTGTATGAGGTGGTCGCTAAGAAACAATTTACAGAGAGTGCAAGAATTAATGTGGTTACCGGTAAACATAATTAATATAAGAAAAATACGGTAATCTAGAGAGTAGGAGCCATTTGGGGAATAGTCACTATACTATCTAAACAATAGACAAGCGTATCAACCAGAACACACCAGAATGTTTTGATCACTTAAATGGCAGTTGCTTTAATAATCAGTTTAATATTAATAATATTTTAATAGAGAATACTTGTCTCCTTATGTTTTGAAACACGAGAATTGTTCTATTTCCCGCAGTGGGCAATTAATCCTTTGTGAATAGATATCACAGTAACAATAAGACAGAGGTAACAGTGAACAGAGGTTATATTTGCACTGAAGAATAACTTCAATTCATCGATGGTGCCATTCATCGATGCATTACGTAGAATTGAGACCAGTCGAATATATAGAATAGTCAACAGTGCGGCGAGCAGGAAAGACTAAGCAGGAGAGCAGCATGAATGACTTCCCAAGCTAATGGCGAATTTTACACAGCTTATTAAAGTAGATATAAATGTAATGGGTATGTTTCTTGTCCACCAGCTTCGTTAATTTTCAGGTGTACCTAAATATTTAGACGGCCTAACCTCATAGATGGACAGGTCATATAATGAGAACAGACGACAGGTGGACGAAAAGAACAGTAGAGTGGACTCCAAAAGAATGCAAACGTCTCCTAGGACGACCACCTACACGTTGGGCGGACGTGTTCTTAAACAGCTGTACCCGCAGCTGCAGTTGTTTTACAGACTACGGTATGAGACTCGCACGCGCCACCATGCTCGAACAAGACCACCACCATGGACTACGATTGCGAGAGGAAGGAACGAATGGCATGCTGGAGTCCGCACAGCTTGTGAAGACGGACCGTCCAAGTATCCAAGTAAATAGTATCCTCATTGCCACGCTGGCTTCGACACATCTTTCATTCGTTTTTAAGGCATCAATATTCACAAATAAAGCTGGCTTGGTTCGCACATGGGGTCGGCTTTTGCTTAGGGATCCTTCTCTTTCCCTGTCGGTGCATTTCGGCACAAGCAACCGCCATCTCCTGCTCATAGGATGGA